CTGCTTTACACTGAGTGGATGTCACAGCTGTGTTGGAACCAGGGGTAATAATGGAACATTACTGGAACAAATGATGTCACCATCACTTCTCCTTGAGGTCAGATTCACAGGTTCAGGAGAGATACCATGAAAGGCAGTTGACTTGAAGCTGGAACGAGGGTCAGACATCTTCCAGGCAGGCAGAAAGTGTGCAGTCATGTAGACTTGGTGTTGGCATGGCTCATACAAGAAACATGGAGGAGGCTCATAGGGCCGGCTGGAGTTGGGTCAGTAGGACTGAGGGGTGGGAGAAAGTAGTGAGGGCAGAAAGGGGAGGCATCCAGGATGGGTTCTAAGGCTTTTAGCCTGAGTCTGCCCCCACATCCTATCAGAGTAATCATAGTCACTTAACTTTTGGTCAGGTTAAAGCAAGGTTCTCACTGGGAAACCAGTTGGCAGCCTGACCGGAAGCGATGGCAGGACCCTGGGGGTGGGGCATAGGCCTGTGGCCAGACTGCCTGTGGAGGGGCCCCAGGAGACTTCCTGGTGGGGAGGGGCATATTGAACTAGGGCTTGTAGATTTTGCCTTGGGAGGCAGAGAGAGATGGAGGGGGGAAGTGTGGGTAGGAAAGAAGATGTGTCAGATAGAAGGAAAACCCCATGGTGGTACGGGTGCACAGAGATAGCTGGTGGGCTCTGGGGAGCCGCAGAAGGTGGCTGGAGCAAAAACACTTGGTGGTGATGGTCCGTGTGTGTGTGTGTGTGTGTGTGTATGTGTCGGAAGGGAGTGGGAAGCAGACACCCTGTAAAGGTAGGCTCAGTCAATGTAATACCAAAACTAGGAGTTCGGCCTGTGCGCCAGGAAGGTGGGGGAAAAGAAGGAGGGAGGTTTTAATTATGGGAGTCATGTCATCGTCTATACTTAAGAATCATCACTCTGCTTTGGAAACATAAATGCTGGGAATTTTGGTAAACTTAAAAAAAAGATTAAGAATAAGCAGTTAAGCATAAGAGATAAAGAAATGCCTGTGACCTGCCAGTTGTCTTTGTGCTCTCCTTGCTGGGGTCCTTGTGGGCTAGGGTTTTCTTTGCGGGGTTTGTCAGTAGGGTGGCAGGTATGGTTGCCCCTAACACCGGGCAGGTCAGGGTGGAATTAGGGCTTCGGGGCCAGCTGAAAGGCTGGCAGGACCTGCTTCCCAATTAAATTGCTCGTGTCATGCCGGGTGATGAATGCCTGTGACTTTGGGTATAGCATTTCCATCAAGACACCTTTATAGGATTTCATTCTTTGACTTAAGAAGTGAAATACCTTATAGTCCGACCACTTAGGCCCTTGCTTTGACTGGGTTGGTTAAGTTTTAGGGTTTGGACTGGATGGTAGGGATTGAAATATACACACAGTAGCCAGGCAAGTTCTGCCTCCTTGAGGTCACACAAACTTGTCCATAACTTTATATAATTTGTACCCGGATGAAGACTATAGTTTTGGGGGCTGTGCCCAGTAGAGTCCTAGTAAGGTAAGGGTCATCTGAGTTTTCTCTGATACGACAGGTTGGCTTGTTTCACTGGAAATATGAACGTTTAGATTGGGTTAGCCTTCTTACCTTTAGTTCCCCAGGCACCCTCCAAGAGAGAGGTCAGACATGGCGGCTCCACAACCACCCAACGTTGGGTATGCTCACCTTGTTCCTTTGTAGGTGTGGAGTCAAAGGCAGTGTTTCAGAGGAGACTTACTTATAAAATTGAGCCCTGATGATGAAAATACAAATGCCAAAATAGGAATTAAAATGGTCCCCAAGCCGTGTCACCATTTCCAGGATAACTTCATTCTGACAAATGCATGTGAGGTAGCTTTGCTGTATTTCTGTGTGACACTGGCCAAGTCACTTCCCATCTGTGTATCATTCCTCATTTATAAAAATAGAGTTGTTGGACTAGATTTGTTTTTTATTTATTTATTTATTTATTTTTATAAACATATAATATATTTTTTTCCCCAGGGGTACAGGTCTGTGAATCGCCAGGTTTACACACTTCACAGCACTCACCATAGCACATACCCTACCCAATGGGACTAGATTTGTTTTAAGGCATTTTCTTGTTCTGACCGCTGCAGTGGTCAGTCCATAGAGACCCACCCACTCACCCCAGCGGTCTAGGGAACCTCCATGGTGCACCAGGCCCGCTAGCAAGCACCAGCCAGCCTCATCTCTTTGTGTCCCTGTGATGAACTCAGTTTTTGTTGTTGTTGTTGTTGTTGTTTTTAAAAATTTTATTTATTTAACAGAGATCACAAATAGGCAGAGAGGCAGGCAGAGAGAGAGGAGGAAGTAGGCTCCCTGCTGAGCAGAGAGCCTGATGCGGGGCTCAATGCCAGGACCCTGGGATCATGACCTGAGCGGAAGGCAGAGGCTTTAACCCACTGAGCCACCCAGGCACCCCTGAACTCAGTTTAATAGTGAAATTCAGGTCCAGGAGTAGGGATGGCCGTGTCATTAACCAGTCGTTAATAGGTGATTCCGTTTCTTCTTCAAAGCCATTGGCTTGGTGTTCACTTCTCCCTCCTCTCCCTTTGGTTCAGCTCCTCCTTTCCTCTGGGGCATCCTTGTATGTGGTTATGTCTGCACAAAGCTGCTCACTCTTTGGGCTTGATAGCCTCTTTCTGGGAACTCATAACAAGAATTGCTTCATCACTGGCCATGCGCACTGGGGACTGACCCAGGAGAGGGGTCGCCAGATGCCAGAGGCGCTCCCTGTATTTGTGGATTCATTATCAATGTCAGACAGCCTGCCGTGTGAATGATGATGAATGTGCAGCGTTCTGCTGAGGGAATCCGGGACTCTCGGATTCACCCCTTGCCAATAGCCCGCTCTGCCGCTGCGTGGAGTCCCATCACCCATGCTCCCATCTTCTCTAGTCCAGAACAGACCTTGAAGGAGTCAAGTATGTTTGGCAAAGGATCCTAGGAGACCTCATGTCCAGGTGATTTAAGAATGCAGACGTTTTTATTACAAACACATCAGGACAAGGTGGGCAACTCCTACAGAAGCAGAGAGGCATTGGAGAGAGGGCCACCCCCGACGAACACATAGGTGCCCCCTAGGAAGTTTCAAATTAGTAATCTAGGCGGGGCTGACAGGGGCCACAGAAGAGAGATCCATCCTTGGTCCCTGTGCAGCTGTGTCAGTATCATGAAAATCATAGGCCTGGCCACCAGTTGTCTTCATGACTTTGGCCAAGGCTCTTACCCAACTTGGGCTTCACTTCTCACCATTCGTAGACTGAGCAAGCTGAACTAGGGAGGTGATCTCATGGCATCCTTGCGGGACCTCCTTTTTCAGTTCCTTGGCTGGACAGGCCCAGCCCTCTGGCCTTGCCAGCCTGGGATCCCCCTCATGGCCCCAAAGGTTATGGTGTGGATTCATGGTCAACCTCAAAGGTAGTTTCCCAAACAGACCTTCCTCCTTGGACTGCCTCCTCCAGAGTGTCTAGGGAAGGTTGGAGGTAGGGTAAAAACCAGGTTGGGGGGGGCGGTACTCTTCCTAGATCGCTTTTCTTTCATTTGGAAGGGGGGGGTTACCTCAGACTCCAAATCCAGATCCATATGGAGCTGGAGATTTGTTCCCCAGCTAGTAGAAAAGCTTTCCTTCTGTGGCCCCATGAATTCTTCCAGAGACTTAAATGCCATTCCAAGTCTCGGGCCTTGAAATGAAATCACCTTTCTCTGGCAGTGGTAGTTTCATCCTCTATACCCCCATCTATTATTGGGGCAAATACCAATTATGTTAAATGAGCTGATGCATGTACTCAGCATAATGCCTAGACAACTCATATTTTTGTGGCCTTCTGGTGTCTAGGCATTTTACTGAGTTCATGTATCAGCTCATTTACTCCTCATGCCACCGGCTTGAAGTAGATTCTGCTTCCCCCCATTTTACAGATGAGGAAACTGAGGCTCACTTATAATTCCAGGGTGACATACCCTGCCAAGATCACACAGTGAGTAAGTGGCAGAGCTGAGATTTGTACTTGATGCTTTGTGACTCCAGAGCCCAAAGGTTAACCACCAGGCAGCACTGCCAAGGGAGAAACACTGGCAGGGCACCACAATCACCCGGTGGATGGACTGTCCAGAGATGCTCCTCTTCCCGCTGGAGCTCACGCCACAGCCGTGAGAGTCACTCCTTGCACTTCGTGGGGGAAGCAGCTGGGTGACAAGAAGAAGGGCGTAGTCGCTGCAGGCCTTTATTTCAGTGGCTCACGATTCAGGGGTGGGACATAAGCCACATTAGGGGGGACATAAGCCACATTAGGGTGGACATAAGCCACCCTAATAGCACCATTTGTCATTATGACACAGGTTAGGTTGGGGGAAACTGGAGCTGGAATGGAAGAGTAGAATTCTGGTTATTTTAGCAGTTGAAAGTGACATCACATCAGAACCTCTATAGAATGGCACATTGGAAGCTGGACCAGAATTGCTTCCAAATGTATCCAGGGATCGTTTGCTACAGCTGTGATAAAGTCGTTTGGCTGTTTGGGGAGATGCGCTTCTGTCCAAACCGCTGTCTGGGTTGTGTGTGTGTCAGCCCGCTGGGAAGGCTGCCCGTCAGCCCCGGAGGAGGGAGAGCTCCGGGGTGCTGTGCCTGGGTGGCCGGACTTGCCGCACCCTGGGCCGGGGGGGGGGTGGCTCTGGGATGCTAGGGCGGCCGCTCCCTCAATGTTTCTTTGAGTGCGCTGTGAATGTCTTTCCGTGTCACCGAGTCATGTTTTCCGTTTTTTCTCATGGTTGCATTGTTGTCTTTGGTCCCGTGGTGGGTAGATCCGGGGTTTTCAGAACAGACCCTCTTGTCCCTGTCAGCCCCTACACAAACGGGAACACTCGCAAAGGCCTCCAGGATGCACCTGGCTGTTTGACCAGCCTTGTTGTTGGTGGAGGGTTTTTCTCCAGCCAACTTGCAAGTGAGACCTGTGGGGACCAGAGCTTCAGTGAACTCACTTCCACTCTTCTCCTCTTTAGGCAAAAGAAGGGGAGCGTGGCTCACAAACACTGGGTCGGACCCTCGAATCTGGTGAAGTGCAAGCCGTGCCCCGTGGCACAGTCAGCCATGGTCTGCGGCTCCGACGGCCACACCTACACTTCCAAGGTCAGTCATCCCCATTCTTTTTTCTTGTCATCAAGAGTATCCCGTGACTGCGTGTTCTCCCTAGTCTCTGCACCAGCATGAGGGCCCATGGCTCCCGGTGGGCTTTGGGCCTCGCCCTTGAGAGGCTGCTGCACGGGGAGGCTCTCTAGTCAAAGAGACAAATGTTACCTCCTGTGGAACTGCAGTGATCCAGGGCTGTGGGGAAAGGAGGGTTCTGAGGGTGGCGTGTGATCCTGAAGTCAATCCCGGCAGGCTTCCTGGAGAAGGTGAGGTAGGAAGCGGTCCCAAAGGTTTGAGTCCTATAGCTGAGCCAATGGGTGTCTCTGGAGTTCACTGTAAGTTGTGGCCACCCGTCTCCCACAGCTCAAGCTGCAGTGCTTCTCTCTCTCCTCCTGTTGTCTCCGTGAGGCTCACTTGCACATAGATTCTGGGGCTGAAGACAGTGGCCATCAGCAGCACCCTGGCTGCCTGTGGCCACACTACCATGTGGTTGTTGGGGCAGGTCCCATCTTGGTCCTTCCCCCTTTGCACACAAAGGTGACAGCATCTGTTCCTATGAGCCCCTCACCGTCCTAACTTTTACACCATGGAGATCCCCCAGGGCTGTGGGGGAGGGCGGCTTACTGCTTGCTGTCCTCAGAGGCTTCTTTGGGTTATTTCAACACTGTGCCATGCTTTCCTGCTGATTCTCTGTTACACAGATGATATATTTTTGCTCACTGAAAGAATTGTATCCTCTCAGATTTTCACATTTTTCTAACTAAAAGGGATATGTTTAACAAAACAGGAAGCCAGAAGGTATGTCTAGCTTGTACTCAGGCCCCTGTAATCTGCTTTTAGGACCTCAATATTGTAATCACTCTTTGAGCGTTCGTTTCTTCTTTCAACACATATCCCCTGAGCCCGCATTCTTATGTGCCAAACTCTGTTCCAGGTACTGTGGAAACTTAGAGTGGAAATAAAAAAAGTTCACTCATCTTCATAGCCAGAGTTAGGAATCCCTATGTCCCCAACCTCAGACCTGCTCTGGGAACTAGAGCTTTTCTGCCCAGGGTCACAGTCAGTAAATCCTTGTGAAAGAGCCCAGGTCGGCTCAGTAGACCCACCCTGGCCCCTTCCCTTCCTTTCCCTTCCCCTGATGAAATCTGTTTGAGATATTTGTAGTAGGAGGGCTTGCTGCTGGTACCCTGCATACGTCTGGAATTGTGGGGTTTGGGGGAGGGGGTCATGACTTTGTTCTGTCCCCTATTCCACAAAGGCAGATGAAGCCAGCATTGTCTTCCACCTAAAGCCCAGCTTCTAGGGATGTGAACAGTCACCTGGAGATTCTGCTGAAATGCCCCTTGTGCTATAGCCGGTCTTGTGTGGGGACTGAGTTTCTGCATTTCTCACAAGTTCCCAGGTGGTGTTCATGCTGCCAGTGGTTGGACAACACTAGGCAGTGAGGACTTTGGTTTTTAGAGACCCCTCCAGATAGATCTCATTATCTCCCATCTGCCCTTCCCCTGCCTCCAAAGGCCATTTCTGCATGACGGAAGAGGTGGGGAGGATTCTGTAATACAGGTCTGTTTGTGTGTCTCCCCCTCTTAAAATGCTTGGGTATCTTTCCTCTTCCTGCTGAAACTAAGCCCAGACCTGTTCTCGTTACTAACAGAGCCTTCCAGAGTCAGCTGCCTTCCTACTCCGTTGTCACTCCTTACAGAAATTTCCTTCCTTTCACTGGTTCAGCACGTAGTTTGTGAACACTTCTAGCTGTTCTAGGCCCTGTGCAGAACATGGCAGTGGAGAACAGGGCAGGTACCGTCCCAGCCCACTTGCAGGTTGCAGTCTGGTTGGGCAGACAGAAATAAGTAAGTAACCAAACAGATAGATCTGTGCTTTGAAATTTGGCAAGTGTTACAATGGGGCTGAATGAGATAGAGAGAGAGAGAAAGAGGGGGGATGCTTTGTAGGGGATGGTGAAGGAAGGCCTTTCTCAGGAGGTATCCTTTAATTAAGAGTGAAGGGTAGAATGATCTAGACAGAGAATAGCTTGGGCCAAGGCTCTAAAGCAGGTTGGTGTGTGTGAAGAAGGAAGAGAATGCCTGCCTGGCTGTCATATTGGGGGACCGGGAGAGAGGGAAGGCGAGAGAACAGTCTAAGAGGAGATCTGTAGCTGAGGCTGGAAGGTGATGGTGCCGTCCGGCAGTGCCTGGCTTGGGGGACATTTGTTACTGTAGCAGCCGCCTTCTCTGTGTCTGCTTCAAGAATGTGAAGCTGCAGAGACAGAAACAGTGCCTGTCCCCACCTCCACCAGGCACAGGACGCTGTGTGTGGTGGGTGCTCAGTGAGTATCACGGACAAGAGGGGAGCCTCCAAGGACTCGGGCTGAGATGGAATGGCAACAACCCAGTCTGTGTAACCCATCTGGGCTCAGGAGTGAATGGATTGCTGAGAGCTTAGTGATGGAGAAGAATAAGCTGTCCCCTCCCTGGGCCAAGTCGCTTAGCTGAACAGCCAGCCCAGGGCTCCAGCAGAGCATCACAGGCTCCTTGCAGTGCTTTTCTCTTTCTGAAGGTCCAGTTTGCACTGTTCCAGATTATTCCCTCCAGCTCCGGAGCAAACGGTCTGATCCTCGAGCCTGAGATTGGAGGCAGGCCCCGAAATGTCAGTGGGTGACCAGGGCTGTTGGGACAAGTGGCGTGTTGCACATCAGAACCAGCCAAAACCTGCCCACTCGCCTCTGTCTCTCATTCGCGAAAGGAGCTTCAAGTGCCGGCGCCCTGTGACCCCCAAGCTACAAGGAGCGGTAGTAACCTGTCAGTCGTGGCTTGAAGTGCTGTCAGTTGCTCAGGGAATGTCTCTGGAAATGCTTGCTGGTCACAGCCCCCTGCAGTCTGGGCCGGAGAGTTGGCTTTTTGATAGAGAAGGTTGCCTCCTCACCGGTACTGATAAATAGCTTGTCTATGAGGCAGGATTGGGGTTTGGAAGATTCCTCAGAAGAAGTGTGACTTCCAGATACTGCTGGGCCCTCAAAGCCTTCATTGGCCTCAGCCCGCTGTGGCACTGGTGTCCTTGAATTCCAGCACCAACTGAAAGAGAGTCCTCAGTTTCCCAGACCTGCTCAGCTGTCTTTTCCGGAAGCAAATGAAGAGACCTAAAGCATTCTTACTAGGAGCCGTAGTTTCATTCTCCCCATTCTGCGTATGGGGTATACTGAGGCCCGCAAAGCCATGGACAGCAGCGGAGTTCGAAACCCAAGGTTGCCTGCTTCCATGTCTGTAATCAGCTGCCTCTATCTGAAGTTAAAACAAAGGGAAGGAGTCAGGGAGGGGTAGCACTGCAGTGGAAAATGGTGTGGGAATTGGTCTTTGGCATTGGACCAATAGTTTTCTACCTTATTTGAACTTCTGTAGCATTGGCATTTTCCTTGTCCTGAAGAAACAAATCAAATAGTAGTCCGTCAGTAGCCGTGTGTTGACTGCTTTAAGATCTCTGACCCTGACGATGGTTCTAAACTCCAGTGGCATTCAGCAAGGCTCCCTTCCAAGGGGGATGTTCCAGTCTGGTCTGGTTTACTACTTGAAGTATTTGAATTATCGCTCCCAATGTATGGCCACCTTTTAACGGAGATTTAGGAGGACATTTTAGTCTTATAGACAAAGCTGTTGGAGGTCCAGGAGTAGATGGTCATTTAATAAGAGTGAATGTGCATTCATGAACTCCATCCCCTAGAATTATGGCCTTTTCTGAGGTCATTGGGGTCAGGAAACAAAGGATAGATGAGACCATGAAACATGTTTAACAGGAGGGATTTGATATTTTAGGTCAAATTCACAGAAATTAATGTTGGCAAAATACATTGCTGCTTTGGTCCCCATCATCATCAGGGAAACCCATACCCCCTAGTAAACGATCACAGTACTCCATGGGGAGTGTTTGCTCTCTCCTGCATGGATCTGAAGACTATGGGATGCACTGTCAGGAGGAAGGAGGAGCCCACACGTCAGCTCTGCTATGGCTGCTGGGTGTCTGTCTTCAGGTGACATCGTGTGAGCTTTCCTTCTGCTCCTACACCCATAACGGTCAGACAGGCGTAGAACTTAGGAGCAGCCCCCATCTGTGGCAGAGCTTCCCGTGTCCCAGCGTTGGGGACACCACTCAGAGATTGATGCTGCCCTCCGGGATCAAAGATAAAGTGAACAAGAATGCACAAAGCCTAGGTGAAGGGATATGAGATGTTTCTGGCAGTAAATGTTTATTCAGACTCTGTACCCCTAAAAGAGAAGGAACAGAAAACCACTAGGGAGGATAGACACATTGAAGGCCAGCCCTACAGCTCATCTGAGCATCTGATACAGACCTCGTCCCTTGACATGGGTTTGAGACTGTATCACCCTAGTCATTTCATGGCCCTTGATGTCACGTTCTCCCTGCCAGGAAAACTGAAGTAGTCTGGAAACTCAGTCACCATTTATTTTCTTTCATGCTGTGTGTCAAGCATTGTCCTACTTGCTGTGTTATGGCAAAGGGCAAAGCAGACAAAGTTTTCATGGAATTTGAAGGTAGGTGAATGGGAAAGCAGTCACCTTCTGTTAGCAGAGATGGTCCGCTGAGGGACATCCTGGGTGCGGCAGGCCACAGAGTGAGGCCGCCTCCACTAGTCTGAAGGTGTGAATGGATCTTCATAGTGGAAGTGATGGTCCCACTGAGAGCTTAAGGCTGGAAGGAGTCAGCCAGAATAAGAGTGGTGTGGGGTCAGCTCATCCATCGGATGGGAGTGGGGGTGGGAGAGAGAGATGAAGGACAGCATGGCCCCTTGTGGAGCTGGTGACAGTGTCGGTATGACTGATCACACGTGGGCCAGGGACCGGGGCTTAGCTACAGAAATGAGGCTGGAAAGTAATCAGTGGCCATTTCTTCAGGGCCCTGAAGGCCATGTAAGGGGGCTGGAGTTTGCCCTGTCGGCCCTGGGGATCCTGCTGAGGGTTTCTGGTTTCAGATTCACTTATGCTGGCTGA